TTTTATTTTTTTTAAATATATACTTTTTAATATTTTAAATATTAGAATGTAATCAAGTAAAATTTACATTTTCAGACTTAATCATTTCAACTAGCAACAGGTTTTCATAAATTACATTTAATTACTGGAAAAATCTTTCTAATTATTAATTTACTACTAATACTAAAATTACAATTTTCTTAGGTTCCACCTGTTTAATAAATCACAAATTTCCTTTTCTCTTAATTTTTATTAAATTGCATTTATATTCTTAATTTTTTATATTGAAATTTCAATTATTCTTCCAATAATCATAAATTTCAAAATTTCTAATATACTGTATTTCAATTTAATATTTATAATAATTTTTAGGTACTTGTTTGTTATTGCCCCGCCAGTACACCATATAAAATTTATCAACCCGCCATAATAGTTATCGTGTTTAGCTCGTGATTGATAATCTATTTTGGGAAATATTTTAGGAAAAACTACCCTTTGCAAGACATTTTATATCATACTAATATATAATATCAAATAATATATTAGTATTTCACTGGCTTTTGTTATTATATTACCTGCTTCGTTCAGACCAATATTAAATTACAATAATAAAATGTATTTTAGTGAATTACTTATGGTTGCTTTCAACAATGATAGAGGAATTCAATTTTTACAAAAAAATTAATGTTATTGAAGTGAGTGAAACTTCTGAAAATGGCCATATAATGATTATTAAGGGATCGTGATGGTGGTGTCAGAAAAGAAGTTGCCGGAAGAAAAAAGGTTTAAGAGTCTTATTTGACAGAATTTATGTGTAGAATACGTCTCTGAAAAAATGATGCATTTGAAACTATATTAAAAGATATTTCTGAGTTCTGGCCTTCTTTGTAAATTTATTTAATTTTTTTTTTTTAAATTATAATAAATTTTTAAAAATTTTTTTATTGTATTATAATCATTGACCTATTATAATAGGTCAATGATTATAATACATTTTATTTATGGCGGAGCGATAACAAACAAGAGTGGAGGGGAGATAAATTTTATACTGTGTACTGGCGGGGCGATAACAAACAAGTACCAATTTTTATATATATATATATTTATAAATTATTATTATTATTGTTTATTTTTATTTACTTATAATTTAAAGAATTATAGTTAACATTTAATACATTTAATTTGCTATTAAAAATTATATTATAATTTGTCTTAAATAAGATGTAAAACTTTACATACTAATTTTAATTTAATAATACATCATTAAAATCTTTATTTTATTAATTGAATTAGTTTAATACTGTTAATATTAATTTTAAAAGATTTAGAAAAAAATCTAACTATATTTTAAAGCATTTAATGTTGAATTTAATTAATAGTTTAAAATAGAAGGTTTTATTTGCAATATAAATATACACTAACAAAATAATATTAACAAAAAAAAAATACATTTTTATATGTAAAATAAATATTTTACTCTGATATCTCCAATATAATGCTCTTTATTATTAAGCTATTTATAATATTTAATAATCAAAWAATTAAAAATCATAAAAATAATAATGAAATATAAACCTTATAACTATTAAAAAAAATATATTCTGACTAAACTCAATTATTTAAAAAAAAAAAAAATTAAATATCTATTTAATTTTTATAAGCAATTTCTACTAATTTTTACAAAAACAAAATAAAGAAAACTATTTAATTAAATTTCATATTAATCTATAAAGTAATATACATAATAAATACAGAGATTATATAATTTATAGAAAATTAAAAATAATAAAAATAAAATTAGATTTATACGACTCTTGAAAATTTTAACTTCAATTGTTATAGAATAAAATCAAAATTACAAAAATATCAATCATATCAAAAAATAACATACTAAAACTAATTAATGATATACTMAACATTAAGATCTTTTTTTTCAAATTTAATTATTATTAAATAATTATAAAAAGAAAAATATATTACTATCACTAGTTACTAGTTSTGGACTGTTATAAAGTACCGTGAAATACTTGTAACTTTATGTTATTTCTATTTAAAAAAAATATGTATTGACAAAATATAGATTTAATTACATTCTAACAATTTCACTACAATTAATCTGGTTTTTGATATTTAAGGCTTAAACACACTAAAGACACACTGTATTTTTTTTACTAAAATACCACCCTGCAGATACTTGTTTCTAGATAATAAGTATAGAAGATGTTAATAAGTTCTTCAACTATCCAATACCAATAAAATAATATTATACCTAGTATAGACTATTAGACTATTCATTATTATTTAGTATAATCATATATTTATTTATATACTTTTACATTTTTCTCCATAGCAAAATTTATTGATTTTTGATGAATTGATGAAGACAAAAAATTGTTATACAGCCTACCTATTTTTTCAAATTTTAACAAAAATTTAATGATACATCTATAAATAAATTACATATGCGTCTTGGTTTTTAAGTTTTTTTTTAAAGTTTTCCCTTCTTATAAATACAATTTTCTATAACTAAAGAAGACATATTATTATTTGTTAATTAGCAAACTAAGTTATCCTATTAAATATTAAAACAAGTATCTTTTCTTTGCCATGGATGATTTATAGAAAATTTGCCCCCGGATACTAGTTTATAATAGACGCCATGTGTGTATGTGACAAGATATCTGATAAGTCAAGCAGTCAACTATTGATGTCTAAAAAGATTAGGTTAGCTTTTTATGGTAATTAGATCTCTTTTTAAAAAATTATTAAAATTTAGCTCATTATTTAACAAAATTACTTATAAAATAATTAAAATAGTGATTTTTGAGTGAAATAAATAAATAACAAAGTTCCATTAACGTCACTTGAGTTAACRACACTAACTATATTGAACTTATTTATATTTAAAACATTCAATATTTTAGTCTAACTATTAGTTATTAAATTATACATAGGTAAATTGTATTCTATTTATAGAAATACAAATGTAAGCAATAAAAAATATGTACTAAAAATTAACCAATACATTTGTTGATTCTATTGCATTATATAAAAAAAAGTAAATGTTTAAAAATAATTAAATTAATTTTATTAATTTTTATTTCAGATTAAAATTTTAAATATGCAACATGCATATCGTCGAGTTAACTCTGATTCTGATGAAAGTTTGGATTGTTTTCCAAGAAAAAAAACTAAAATATCAGATATAAATGGACAATCATTTAATAAAGACATTTCAATTGACGAAGGTAATCAAAATTATGATGAAATGGAATGGGAAAATTATTTTRATCACAAAAGCCAAAATTTTAATAATAATCAGAATATATCTTCTGCAGTATCTGATGATGATGATGATTATAATGTTAATAACTATGAAGATAGTGAAATTGAAGATTATATACCTATTTTAGATAGCGTGTTTGAATTAGAAAAGTGTGTGAAAAATGAAACAAATTCTAATACTAGCGGTAATGAAAAAACTGAAGGTGAGTCTGTCAAAGATTTTGGTGGTGGTGCCAATGATTATATCAATGATGAAGAAAGAATGCCTAAAACTAATAAATGCATAGGTATAGATAATGATGAACTATATGATTTATTGGATGAATCATATAGAGACAAAAATAAAACCCACAATAAACACGATAAGATAACTGTTACTCAAGACGACTTTAAAGAATTTGAAAAAACTATATTAGAGGAAGTATGTAAAAATCATTTTGACATTTTGCCTGAAAATTGGATTGAAACAATTCATAAAAGTGGCATGCCTATTTATTTACACAAGAAAAGTAGAATTGTAACATTATCAAGACCTTATTTTTTGGGACCAGGAGATCCTAAATCACATTTAGCTCCATTGTCAGCAATTAGTTGTTTACAATATCAAAAAGGTCTTCAGAATAAAGAAATTATTAAAAATGAATCTGATTTTCAGGTTAGTAAGTTTGGAGATATGATTATACCAAATGCCAAAGTGGAGACTGCAMAAGAAAATATAATTAAAGAATCTTTAACACATGCGGAATTATGGAAATATTGTCAATCACTATTTAAGTAAATTAATATTTATTATTTGTTTTAATAATCATTACAATTGTTCTGATTTAATCATTTTATTTTTGTGTAATGAATTTTAATAATACTTACCTTTCAGATTAAAATTTAAAGAAGTTAAATCTCCTAGTAATTCACCAGAAGAAAAAAATATGAAAACAGAAATTTCAAGAGGTACACTACAAAACACCAAAGAAAGACCTTCGCTTCCAGATAGTACTAAATTGATATCATTTCCAGTTCAAACTGAGGACGAAAATAAACGATATAATCGTCGTCGAGAATGGATGATGAATCCAAATGGTAAAAGTTATGTAAGCATATTACATGAATATTTACAACAAGCATTGAAAACCCAACCTTGGTATGAGTTTAAAGAACTTGAAAATAATGAAACCTCTTATTCCGCAACTGTTGTGCTTAATGATGTTAAATATGGTGTTGGTTTGGGTAATAGTAAAAAACAAGCAAAACTTAATGCTGCACAAGCCACTCTAGATATACTCATACCTGATATGAAAAATAAAATAGATTCAAATATCAAAAACCAATGTGATCCAGTAATATTTGACCAAATTAAAGTCACCGATCCCAGAGTTATAGAATTATGTGCTAAAACCACAGAACCTAGCCCATATGCTATGTTATTAGTGTGCTTGCAAAGAAATTTTGGTGAATGTGAAATAGGTATTGAGTATAAATTAAACAATCGTCGTAGGATGTTAAACCAATGCACAATGACGGTTGGTAAACACACAGCTTCTGTTGCTTGTAAAAATAAAAGAGATGGCAAACAAAAGGCTTCTCAAATAATACTGGGCTTATTACATCCGCATATTGATAACTGGGGTTCATTATTACGGCTTTACGGTAACAGGAGCATTAAAAATGCTAAAGAAAAAAAACAAGAAGAGCAAGAAATCACTCAACTCCAGAGTAAAGCTGCTGTAAATCAACCAAATTTTGCTATTCTAGATAAACTCAAAAAAGAAATGTTAAAAATTAGAGACCAAAGAAAATTAAAAGAAACTAATGAAATGTTAGGATTATCTCAGACTATGTTTGCTACTAAATGTCCATATACTATAGAAATTCCATCATCATTCACAAGTCCTAACTAATAAATAATTTTTACTTTTCTATATTTAATGAGTCTCTATTCTATTGAATTCTAAAGAACATATTATAGGCAACTTCTTATGCATTTAACAATTATTTTGAAAATTAAATCATGTCAATCTAAATAACTGATAAAATTTTAAAGTATCTACGACTTATACTTTTTGAAAAATAACAAATATTTAAAACCGTTTGAGGATAAATCGTTATTGTTACGCTATTTCGTAAAAATTTAAAATTCAAA